TGAGTTAAAAAAAATCCTTATTTAACTGTGTGTTCGCATGTTTTTCTCACTAATTTAAGATTTTGAGTCATGTTCACGAGAAAATAGTGACACTTTACACGCGTAAGTCTCCCATACACTTTACTCCGTTTTGAATTTGATTGAGTAAGTAGGAAAGTTTTCATGATAATGCCTACTTGTGATCACATGCATTTTTGAGTTCATCAGCTTGTCAAGTACTTAATTTAAAAAAAAGTACTATTTTTCTTAATTTTCAAAAATTCAGTGCTATATTTGTCAATTAGTATGTCGCGGCTAATCGCTGGGCAACGCTCGAGCGATAGAAGCAGAAGCTCCATCACTCGAACGACATGCCGTAAATTTAAATTTTAACATTATTTTTCAAGATTTTTTTGCATTTTTCCCACTTTTTCCTCTCAATTTCTTCCTAAATACTCAAACCAACATCAAATTTGTGGTTAATCCACACTTTAACACTCCCAATCACTTCTTTGAGGTGCCATTTCATTGAATCACCGAATTTCAAAGGTATATTTCTAAAACCCTTAATTTTCTCCATTTTTTTTGCAATTTTCTATTTGTGACCATTCTCGCTTCGATTTTTCACATTTATCTTCATGATTTGGTGTTTGTCATACACTATCATCAATTATTGCACAATTTTGATCAAAAAATTGATTTTTTGGACTGTTTTGGGTGATTTTCCTGTGTATTTTCTATTTGTTCTTCATTTTTCTTGCATTTGTCACTCTTTCGAAGTCAATTGGTGGTTTGGGAGTGGTCATTGGTGGTTGGTTGAGAGTTGTTGAAAGGGATTTTTATTTTTGTACGTATGTCTTTGGTATTTTTGGTCCCTTTTTTGGCGTAAATTTTGGATGTTTCGATGAATGTTGGATTCTTTGGTAGTTTGTGGTGAGTTGGTTGAAGTGTTTTGATTGAAATGCTGTTGAGTTTGGAGTATTGATGCCATTTGCATTGCGGTTGGTGTTGACACCGCGAAGTGACGTCACGTTACAGAGGTGTGCCATCATGGCACAATCACGTCGTAGCGTCTCACGGTCAAGGTATCACGTCACGATATCATGACTTCATTGCATCACGTCACCCCTGTTTAGGCATCAAGGAACTTTTATGTGCATTGGTCCTCGAGTGCATTGCAAATGTACTATATGCCTCATTTTGAGTGAATTCGTGCATTTTATGTATCTCATTCATCTCATGTGTTTTGCTGTGGTTTTAATGAATTGGTTTTACCCGTTTCAGATGCCACCTAAGAGAGCTCGGATTGCAGCTTCGACACTTGCTACCTCGACTTCTTACAGCGGGTCTAGGTTTGTCTCTACGATTGCCTAATATACTTTTGGGTCGCAGTTTTCATTATGTCTCGTCTTATTTGAGCGCGAAGTCATTCTATCTGATTTGTCACCCGACCTTGTTGCTATTTTCACTTCCCTGGGATGGGAGTCTTTATTGGTCAAGTTGACACTTCTTCCTAGCCTTCTTATTCACGAGTTCTATGCTAACATTCATGATGTTAGCGACTTATCTTTTAGTGTATTTCTTCGGCTCCTCCTCCCACTGAGTCTATCTCTCATCCTGCTGATATCCCTTCTGTTCGCGTTGATCCATCTGTTGCACTTATAGGGCTGATGACCATGCTGATCGAGCAGCATGCTTGGATGATGGCAGAGCTTACACAGCTGTGAGCTATAGTTGATCGACACACTATCAAGTTTACTACGCTTCGAGGTGCTGTTGGATATATTCAGCGTGGGCTCTGATGGATTCGTCGTCATTAGGATGATGGTGCAGCTCCTGAGGAGCGGACTAATTCTAATGATGTCGACGATGCTGCTTAGTTTTTAGGTTACCCCTTGTCATTTTGTGACAAAAAGGGGGAGTAGATATAAATATGATTTTGAGGGAGTAGATATTTTTACTTTTAACTGGATGTATATGTTTTTATCTACTTGATATATCTAAAACTGTTGATTTTGATTATATGATATATTTNNATATTTTCAGTTTTTGCTAGATTAAATTTTGACGTTTTCGTGGTATCAATGTTTCTTTTTAGTATGTTGGGTTGCATTGATATTACATCTTAATTTATCATATGATATGAAACTCAAAAGTTGCATTATAGTTTATTAACTGCTTAAATCACTTTTTACACCGTGAACTTCTTAAACTATTTTTACACTTAATACTGTTTCACATACATTTTACAATATGTATTTGAGTTGTCTATTTCAGGAAACAGATATTAAAAAAATGAAATACAGAATTTGTTCAAGACAGCTGTTGGTTGTGTCAGTTGATTTGAGTCTATAATTTTAATTTAATTCTGTCTTAACTTAGATAGTAGTTTTGTCACAAAATGCCAAAGGGGGAGTTTGTTAGGTATTTAATGTAATTGGTTATTCTGTGAATAAAAAGAACTAAAGTTGATATGTTATAAAAAGTCAATGGGTAGTGTGCAAATTAGTGAAAGTTATGATACTTTAGGTCTAGGGTTCGAGAATGGGAAATAAGGAAAAATGACACGGAATTTCGCTAGCTTTTCGCCAAGGTTTGGCTGAAGCGTCAGAAACAGAAACTTCATCGTTCGACTGTTGCCTCACCTTCGCTCGAGCGACAACCTGTCGCTTGACTGTCGCTGGACCTTCGCTAGAGTGACAATGTTATTAAAGAAATTTTTATTTCGTTTTTAAAAGCTCTTTGTCTGACGCATTCATTCTCTAACATATATATAAATACTTGAATGTATCTGAACGATTTTTTGATGGTTGATTATTGAAAAAAAAAAAAACCACTGCTTTTATATTCTTATTATCATTTGAAGTATTCAACCTTCATTGTTCAAATTGATTTGTTCTTGGCAGTGAAAAATATCAGTTTCACAATCCAAATAACAAACTGGTGCTTCCTACATATCTGTCAGAGTTTCTTAAAATCAAAGGAAGGTGACTAGAGCGCAATCCACATGAGATAGATGATTTTACAAAGCTGAGAGTTGCTGCAGGAGAGCGCAATCCAGGAGAGTTTTAAAAACTAGAGCTGAGAGTTGGTGCTGGAGCACAGAATTCAGGAGAGCTGATGAAATTGCAGTTAGGAGATCAGATAGTACGTGTCGTCTGGTCTGATAGACTGTAAGTTAAAAATAGTTTATAGTGGATTGTTGACTGGAAAAGTTCCCGGAGTTTTCACCTAGTTGGGTTTATCCGTGATCAATTCTTGTGTTCATTTATTACGTACATAACTGCGATATTTCAACATAAGATTAATTAAATTAGATGTTTAACTATCTAGGTAAATAATTAATAGTGACTTGTTACTAGTTAATTATTAAATAATTTTTAATTCCGCATATTCACCTATTCACCCCCTCTAGGTGTTGTTAGGGTCAAACTACGTACTTTCAATTGGTATAAAAGCCTTAATTTGATTACTGACCCTTAATAATTTTTAGATGAGTCAGTCATTGTCCGTGCCTCTATTTTTCGACGGAAGCAACTATACTTACTGGAAAGTTCGAATGAGAGCTAATTTGCTCTGTGTTGTGTCTCTGTGGAGACACGGAGAGGCATTATATAATTTCTAGCTCCAAATAATTTATCCATCTAGTAAGAAATCCGTGCTATTAACATATTTTATGCAGTAGAGTCTCGATCCCATCCAAGAATTTTTTCCTCACAGCACGCTAATCATCTTCAAATGTGTGGAAGAGTAAAAGTTGGAATTTTGTAAAGACACCTATTAGGCAAATCCCTTAATGTGGTGCGCTACAAAGCAAAATAAATAAATATTGAAAATAATGAAGTAAGAAACATTAAGTGTTGTTTTGACTTAGCAAACGAACTCAAACTTCCAAAATCCCTCGTACATCACAGTAAATGCAGTGAATTCAATGAGAATCATCACGAGCTTTTCGAAATGGGGTCATGGGCCCAAAACGGACACTATATGCAAAAATTATGTCATTTTCTTTGAACGCCGACTATTTTAGGCTAGTGAAAATGTCATTGTTAGCACTATATTAAAAGAAAAAAATATTGTCTCCGTGCGCACACGGAGACACTGGCCACCGAAATTTGGTCTCCGGATGCGCACGGAGATGTCTTTGTGTGCACACGGTGTTTGGAATTTTTTTTTAATTCCTCCTTCTAGAGCCAATACTTTATCTTTTGAATGGTTGAAACTCTTGTTATCACACTACTATTGAATTTGTTAATTTACCAAATATCAAACACCATTTAGCCTTTGCAAATTTAAAATTCGACTCCAGAATAATAGATAAAGAAGAACTAGAAATTTACATTTGTGCTACGACTATGAGATGTTGGTCTGATTTCAGGCTTGCTAACTGAAGAATCAAAAATTTCCGTAACTCTCAAAATATCTGATTCCGTCAAACTTCTTCTCTTTGATGTGTGAGTTGATGAGGCCGATGATATCACATTGTCAGTATCACTACCATTATCAACAAAACTTGGCTTACTTTTTTTTTTTAATTTTTGATTTGGAGTCAATATTACAGGCAATTTGGAAGTTTGAAAGCTGAATAATTTATTTGTTATTTGGAATCAAAATAAGAGAAGAAATTGTGTCATTGCAATTGCATTTAGTGCATTTGCATGTGGTGTAGAAAGTAGCAAAATATAGTCAATCGTGTAACTGAGTTGGTTAATTACGGGTATCAATTAAGTCAATAAATACAGTTAAATTTTTTTGTCCACATATGGATGAATAGTAATCCTCATAGCCGTTCTTTGAAGAGAGGGTAGATTTGAATTATAGAATGTCTAGAACAGAGATATTTACATGTTTTTTGAATGATTTTCAGACCAGACATGGAAACCTTCCTCTTCACCTCGTAGTCCGTCAATGAAGGCCATCCTGACAAGCTTTATGACCAAGTCTCAGATGCCATTCTCGATGCCTGCCTAGAACAAGATCCAGAGAGCAAAGTTGCTTGTGAAACCTGCACAAAGACAAATATGGTCATGGTCTTTGGAGAAACCACAACCAAGGCCAATGTAAACTATGAGAAGATAGTTCGGGATACATGCAGGGGCATTGGCTTCACATCACCTGATGTTGGTCTTGATGCAGACAACTGCAAGATGCTCGTAAACATCGAGCAACAAAGCCCTGACATTGCCCAGGGAGTTGATGGTAATCTGACCAAGAAACCTGAGGAAATTGGAGCTGGTGACCAAGGTCACATGTTTCGCTATGCTACTGATGAAACACCGGAGCTCATGCCCCTCACTCATGTCCTTGCCACCAAGCTTGGTGCCAAGCTCACTGAAGTAAGGAAGAACAAGACTTGCCCATGGCTGGGACCTGATGGCGAGACCCAAGTTACCGTTGAGTACATGAATGATGGTGGTGCCATGGTTCCTATTAGAGTTCACACCGTTCTTATCTCAACCCAACATGATGAGACCGCACAAAATGAACAGATTGCTGCGGATTTGAAAGAGCATGTAATCAAGTCCGTCATCCCTGCTCAGTACCTTGATGAAAACACGATCTTCCACCTCAACCCATCTGGTCGATTTGTCATTGGTGGACCCCATGGAGACGCAGGACTCACTAATAGAAAAATTATCATTGACACCTATTGTGGTTGGGGTGCTCATGGTGCAGGTGCTTTCTCCGGAAAGGATCCTACGAAAGTGGATAGGAGTGGTGCTTACATTGTTAGGCAGGCAGCAAAGAGTGTGGTGGCTTCAGGACATGCTCGCCGGTACATTGTGCAGCTTCTTATGCAGTTGGTGTTGCTGAACCACCACTTCAGTGTTTGTTGATACCTACAAGACAGGCAAGATTCCTGACAAGGACATACTGGTTCTTATTAAGGAGAAGTTCGACTTCAGGCCGGGAACGATTGCCATCAATCTTGACTTGTTGAGAGGAGGCAACCTCAGGTACCAAAAGACTGCTGCTTATGGTCACTTTGGTCTTGATGACCCCGATTTCCCCAGGGAGACTGTCAACATCCTCAAGCCTAAAGCTTGAATTTNATCCTCAAGCCTAAAGCTTGAATTTGTGGTTACCAGTTAGACAACGTTTCTGCAAATTGATTTCCTGTGGAAATCAAACTCGTAGCAGATTGATAAATAAGGTTCATTGGGTACATTAACTTTACAATTCATTTTCGGGACTCCATTATGGGGGCGGCATTGGTGGTTTTGGTGATTTAGTTCGAGCGGCGGGAGACTGGAGGATATGTTTTTGTGTTATTTTTCATTCTTTTCCATCGTATCTCCATTTAATTGTTTGGAGGTATTTTGCCTGACTCACTGTTGTTCCATTATGAATCTATTGAAACATTCAGTTAAAGTTGAATCATGAAAGGCAGATTCATTTATGAGGATTAATGTGATCATTTGGTTCATGTTACCATTTGCTGCAATGAAGCTTTTTATTTACATTCTTGCTCAAATAAAGGTAGCAATCTACTTGTTAGGCAGTGTGCACAATGCAATTAATGGCTCTAATTTTTTCTAGGCTAGGTTGCAGCAA